GGAGCCCTCCCGGCCCCCGCTCCCGGGAGCGGTGCCGGGAATTCAGCCCGCAGCTGCCGCCGCCGCTCTTGTCCCCTCCCCCGCCCTCCGAGTCCCGGGAAGTTCTAAAAAGCAGGAAAACGCCTCCCGCGCCCGGCTTCAGCAGCGGGAGGAGCAGGGCAGAGCAGCGGTCCCTTAACCCGCTGCAAAGGAGCCGAAGTGCAGGACAGCGACACCTTTCACCCGTGTCAGGTTCTACACTGCTCCGTGACATCCTTTTAAATGTTCATAGGCTGAAACTAACTTGTGACGGAAACGTGAAGCCAGAAAGTATCACCAACGAAAAGGCCTCGTTTTCAGACAAGCAACAGCATGTTTTTTTGTAAACATTTATTGATGCAGCCTAAGTACAAGTTTAGAATCGGAGCTTCTGGAAGAACCACTTGTTCTTGCCGGTCTTGTATCTGGAAGAGAAGCAGGAGCGTCAGGAGACCCTCTGTGCTTGGCCAAGCGGGAGCAGCACAAACCCTGCGGAGCGGCGGCCATCCTGTCCCCGCATCGCAGCGCTCCCGCTACCCAACCCCAACTGATGTCCTCTCCTGCCCCTCTACCCTCTGCTCAAGGGCAGCTGCCAGCAGCCTCCAGAGGCACTTGGATCACCTCTGAACTGCAGGAGTTCCCACCCTGAGGAACAGGCTGCAGTTTCAGATATATTTTATTAGGAGCACCCCAGGTAAGCTGCACAGAGCTGGCGCTCCTGGGCTTCGAGCCCCATGTGCATCTCCCTGACGCGGCACAACCGCCTCCCGCGCAGCAGTTACGAACAGAGCGCAAAGGGAGGACGTCGACCTCCCAAGCTCCGGGCAGCCCCAGGCTGAGCTCGGTAGCTCCCAAGGAGACTGAGGCCCCAGGGCAGCCCCACGAGCCCTCAGCCTCCAGGGGAGCAGCTCTGGGTGCGAAGCAACACAGGGCGCCCAAGGGACCCCGGGTCCCACTCACAGGTGCTCCCAGGGGAGCAGCACAGAAGCATCATCTGAGGCACAAGCACTGCTAACACTGTAAAGACAACCGCAAAACTCACCTTTCCTCAAACTTCACCTTAGCTTCACGCCTCGCTTTGCGTTTTAACGCGGGGTCCCTGAACACATCCTTGTTGACAACTGTTTTGTCCAGAGGAATGTCAACGGAGTACCTGCGAAAACAGTGGTGCGGTTGGAAACTGGCACAGCCAAGACCATCAGACCCATGTCCTAGCGCAAGTCACATCCCTTCAGACTCCCCCGTCCTAGGGATGCACCAGCCCCGAGGCATCTGGTAGCACCCAGTGCAGCACGTAAAGGAAGGAGCTGCTTTCTGAAGAGCAGACAAGCTGGAGCCCCGTGTCCTGCAGCCCAGAGAAGCCAGAGCTGCAAAGGGAAGGAGAGACACAGGGGAAGGAGAGTGCGGCTGCCCCTGTGCGGGTCCCGACCGGCTGCACTCACCGCGTGGGCATGAGGTGGTTGTAGTTGTAGACCTTCACGAAAGACTTGATCTTGGAGCGCTTGGCGATCTTCTTCTTGCCCATGGCGGCTGTCACCTTGCGCGGGTAGCGGTCGATGCCGGCCACGAGTGCGTGGCTGTAGGGCCGGTCCGAGGTGCCATCATCGATGTTCTGCAGGGGCCGGCGGTGAAGGAGGTCCCCCCGCG